TCCTAAGACCCACTCCTAGATTTCTTTACCCCTGGGGATGTGTGGTGGAGCACACTTTTACCTTCAGGGCTCAGCAGACAAAAGCAGGCAGCTTTCTGTGAGACTCAGGCCAGCCCAGTCTGAATAGTGAGCTCCTGGCTTTGTGCCTGGTGCCTGAGGGCTCTGACTCCTCTGGAACTGAGTGATCCCTGTGGCTATGAGCCGGCATGCTGGGGAGCCTGACTCAGGATTTTCAAAGAGCGACAAATACCACCTTCCTGCTCCCTCCATTGTTTGTCATATCAAGCAGTCACCCTGCCTGTACTTCAAAAGCAACCTTATGAGCGCATTTGCTAAAGAAACATTCCTTACGTAAGAATAACTTGACCAGGCGTGGCTCATGTGCATGCCCTTCGGTCCAACACTGAGGAGGCAGAGACAGGCAGAGCTCTGTGAGTTCCAGACCAGCCTGAAAGGGGTAAACTAAACTCAAGGGCTTCCCTTCTAATAATTTAGAAATAAAGGGGCCAGACCCTCACTCAGCCCCCTGCTTTAGCAGCCATGACAGGCTATAGAAAAGACACGTAGGCCTCTGACACAAGGAAACTCCAGATCCTCTGGCCTCCCAGTCTAGGGCCAAAAATGATCACAAAGAAACTCCAGACCCCCCCCCCCACACCCTCCTAAATGCTTGGTTCTTGGGAACTGTTTGGCCACAAAAGAAACTCCAGAGGAGACCAGAACCTCCCCTGTAGTCTCCAGGATATAGTTCTGAAAACTATTGGTATCTATGTGCAACAGGCCACCTGCAAGTAACAAGACAATGCCATAGAAACTATAGAATGCTCCCTCTCAGCACTGACAAATTACAATAATTGGTACACAGGTATTTCATGCCAAAGTATGACTTTGAAAAATTCTCCTAATTGTTCCCAAGTGTCAACCAATCAGAAACCAACCAATATCTATGATGTAATCCTGTAACTTTTGTGTATAAAACCTAGCAGTAGACAGGGAACTTCACTCCCTCTGGGGGCTGCTGGGACAGCTAGCCAGACAGGGTCCCTGTCATGGGTGAATAAACAATAATTAAACCTTGCTTTTAGTCGGGCGTTGGTGGTGCATGCCCGGGAGGCACTCGGGAGGCATAGGCAGGCGCATCTCTGTGAGTTCGAGGCCAGCCTAGTCTACCGAGCCAGTTCCAGGAAGGCCTCCAAAACAATACAGAGAAACCCAGTCTCGAAAAACCAAAAAAAAAAAACCTTGATTTTGCAGTTTGGTGGGTCTTCCTGGTGGTCTCTGGGGACTTTGCAACTTGGGCACAACACAGCCAGGACTACATATAGTGAGATTCTGTCTCAAAACAAAACCACAAAATAGTAAGTGTCCTTTGGTGGCTCCTTGCCAGGAGGGTCACGCCAGGTCTCTCTCAGTACTAGGCCAGCGTACATTACAGGAGACTCAGCCTCGGAAAACCGGGCTAGAACTCCCTGTGCTTTGTTCCTTGGTTGGTGGAGATGTGGGGGAGTCCCAGCCCTGGGCTTCCACAGCCTCAAACTCTGAGGCACCTTCTCCATCATGATACACAGTACCTTCCTAAGTCACAAGCCAAAGCAAATGCCTCAGAAACAACAAAAGGCCGTGTCTGAGAAGCCACACTCACCTGGGCCCCGCCTTTCTGAGTACCTTTTACCCTTAAAGCATTTATTTATTTGTTTGTTTGTTTAGGGTTTTCTAGACAGGAAACCTTAAAGCTTTAGCCTATAGCAAAATATCCTTATAAAACCCCAAATTTGCATAATAATAACAGTGTGGCTGAGTGGCTGAAAGCATAGAGGGCAGGAGTTCTATTCCAGGGGCAGTCTATAACTCTATTTATCTCTGGATTCGTACGAAACCTCTGGGTTCCAGACACACTTGACATAAACTCTCACTCATATACATACATACACACATACACATAAAAACTTTTATGTGAGACGTTAGTTAGTCCTTTGATTCCCTCCTCTGCATTCCTTGTAACAAAGAAATGAAAACTCCTTTACATGTTATTTTACTTAGCAAGTGAAGGTTTCATCTTCCTGTGTGTCACATAAGAAAGAACGTGGGTCCGATGAGTGGAGTCCATAGGTAAAGGCAGTTGTGGCAGAACCTGGGTTTCGTCTCTGGGACCCACTCTGATAAGAGAGGAAGACTCCCACAAATTGTTCCTGGCCTTCACACATATACACAGAAGCAAACATAACTTTAAAGATATAAAGCAAAATAAAGATAACGTGAATTGGACAGGTTGTGGCATCTCAGATACTTTCTTGTTTACTTTGGTAGGCCTGGGACCTGAAGCTAAGGCTTGTTTTTTTTTTTTTTTTGTTTTTTGTTTTGTTTTGTTTTGTTTTGTTTCTTATGAGGCAGGGTTTCTCTGTATTGTTTTGGAGGCTGTCGGTCCAGCCCGGACTCGAACTCACAGAGGTCCGCCTGCCTCTGCCTCCCGAGTGCTGGGATTAAAGGCGTGCGCCACCACCGCCCGGCTGAAACTAAGGTTTTGTGCCTGCTGGGCAAGCTCTGTACCACAAAGCCGCAAGAGTACAGCTGTGCCCACTGTTGGTTTTTCTCTAATCTCCAGTGGAATTCTCAGATGGGATTCTTCAGTAAGCACAACTGAGGGTAGATCAACAGGTCCTAAAAAGCAGTAAGGATGCCTTATACCCTAGCACAGGTAGCCTGGACTCCGGTCAAGGACTCAGTCCATGGGGTGGTGTTAAAGAATTTGCATCTTAACAAGATTCAGCCCTGGGTCTGAGCTACTGCTTCCAATTTGCACATCAAAGAAGTTAGTCAGGTACTGTTGATAACATCTTTTGGAAACAACACCGGAAAACCACTTGAATGAAGTATTAAAACGCGGTTAGCCAGCTGGTGGGGCTGCTGTGCTCTTAGGATCTCAGCTGTGGGAGGCAAAGGACACAGAGGCAGGAGGATTTCTGCAACTTCAAAGACAGTCTATTGAGTTCCAACTCACCTGAGGGTACACAGTAAAAGACCATGGCTAAAATAAAACAAAAGGCTGGGGGTGGTGGCACTCGGGAAGCAGGGGCAGGTGGATCTCTGTGAGTTGGAAGCTAGTCTGCTCCACAGAGTGAGTTCCAGGACAACCAGGGCTAAACAGAGAAATCCTGCCTTGAAAAAACAAAAAGAGGAAAAAGGAAAGAAAAGCTGTGGGAATTTGGAGTTTCATTCTACTTTCTAAAGACAGCCGGCCCTTGTTGGTACACTTTGACATAACTTACTCCAAGTATTTTTGGAGTGGGGAGATAGCAATTTATAAAGTTAAATTTATTATGGGGGGGGTGTTGAGGCAGGGTTTATCTGTAGCTTTAGAGCATGTCCTGGAACTAGATCTGTAGGCCAATCAGGCTGGCCTAGAACTCACAGAGATTGGACAGTCTCTGCCTCCTGAGTAATGGGATTAAAGGCATGTGACACCACCGCCCGCTTTTTTAAAAAAATATTTTATTTATTTATTACGTATACAATCCTCTGCCTGCGTGCCAGCAGAGGGCATCAGATCTCATTCAAGGTGGCTATGAGCCACCATGTGGTTGCTGGGAATTAAACTCAGGACTTTTGGAAGAACTCTTAACCGCTGAACCATCTCTCCAGCCCTAATTTATTTATTTATTTTTTTGAGCCAAAAATTTCACTTAGTAGCCCTGGCTGACCTAGAACTCAAAGAGACACTCCTGCCTTTGTTTCCTGGGTGTTGGGATTACAGGTATGAGCTACCATACCCAATTAAAGTTAATTTTAGGAGCTCAGCAATGTTTCTAGCCAGGTGTGCAGGCCCTTGCTGAAATACCAGCGCTGGTATAGAATGGGTCAGGATAGAAAATTAAAAATTGGGCAGTGGTGGCACATGCCTTTAACCCCAGCACTGGGGAGGCTGAGGCGGTAGATCTCTGAATTGGAGTCCAGTCTGGTCTACACAGTGAGTTCCTGGACAGCCAGGTCTACCCTAGCTCAGTAAACAAACAAACAAAAGTTTCTGGTCATCCTGGGCCACATACTGAGAATCCTGGGTTGTGTCTCTTTAAAAATGTTGCAATAAGATTTTATTTTGTGTTTAGTCCTAGCACTTTGGAGGCAGAGGCAGAGGCAGAGGCAGAGGCAGAGGCAGAAAGATCTCTTAAGGTTGAAGTGAGCCTGTGATACATGTTGAGTTTCTGGATGGCCAAAACTACACAGTCTCAAAAAATTGAAAGAGATACTATTAAATGTATAGTCTATGAAACAATTCACATATATATATATGCTTAAATGTTTGAATACATATATCATAACTGTCAACTTATTTGAGTGTGTGTAATACACATGTTTATTTAGTCGCATTACAAAGTGAATAGTCAGCCGGGCGGTGGTGGTGCGTGCCTTTAATCCCAGCACTTGGGAGGCAGAGGCAGGTAGATCTCTGTGAGTTCGAAACCAGCCTGGTCTACAAGAGCTAGTTCCAAGACAGCCTCCAAAGCCACAAAGAAACCCTGTCTCAGAAAAAAAAAAAAAAAAAAAGAAGCAAATAGTCTCAGAAGATTTAAGATGAGGCAGGCAAAGGAAACTTTCTAATTAATTTAATTAGGAATTAGCTGACAGCTAGAGGAAAACTACTTGCTTATCCTAGAATATTTAAATTGAGTTCACTGTCACTAGCCATCTCCAAGAAACAAACAATACAAAATCCCTGACATTTCAGAAAACCAAGGTGACTCTAGATAAAATTTCCTCTCCCTTTCCTCCCACCCCCCTTTTGGTGATAGGGTCTAACTTTCTGTGTAGACCAGGGCTGGCTTAGAACTAACAGATATCCACCTGCCTCAGCCTCCCTAGAACCGGGATTAAAGGTGGCAGATGCCACACCCAGGCAGTTTCTCTAGTGTTTTTGTCCTGGCTTAGTATTAACACCGAGCAGGCGGAGTAGTTTATCCAACAGCACTGCCTTTAATCACTGTCTCATTAGCATTAAAGTAGCCTAGAGGCTTGCTTCACTGCATTTTAAAAGGAAGCCAGACCTCAGGGTGGGCTCACTCTAGCTCTGCCAGTTGAGTTTCCGTCTTCTCCAAGACTAAGCAGTTTGGGCTACCTTCCGAGGTTTCTCCCCATCGCCATGGAGGAGTCATCAGAAGTACTCGACTCGGTTGTGAACCCAGAACCTCAGAGGAGCAATGAGGACCAGGATGAACAATACCACTCAGATGAGTCTGGTATGCCCGCCTTTCTGCTCTGGGTTTGGGGAAGTCAGCAGGGGACCATCCTTTCTCATTTTGCTAGGCAGCAGGGGGCTGCTACCCGGGACCCCAGACGGTGCTTATAGTAGTCCGTGTGGGCTACAAGACCTTGTTGTGGGGGTACAGATAAACCAAGCCAGAGGTGGCCAGGAATGTACCTTCCTCAGAGAGAAAGCACTGGTCCAAAAAGGAACGAAAAGAAGGGGAAAATATTGTAGGGGGACCATGTTAAGGGCAGCAGTGGAAAAGATTTGGGACAAACCCAGCATGGGGATTATGGCAAAACATGGTGGGGCAGAATTTCCATAGCAACAACTGGTCTCTGCAGTGGTTTTTAAAACATACTTTATAATAAATATATATGTACATACGTATCTCTGGTTTGCCTAGAACTCCCAATGAAAACCCAGTGGCCTCCAAGTGAGAGTTCTCCTGCCTCTGTCTCCCAAATCCTGGGATTAAAGGTGTGGGCAGGTTTCCATAGTTTTTGTTTTGTTTTAGCTCAGAAATCCCTTTTGTAGTCCAGGATATCCTAGACTTTTCCCCAATTTTATTTTTACGCCAAAGTGCATTGATGTTTTAGTTACATGTATTTCTGTGAGAGGGTGTTGAATCTCCTGGAACTGGAGTTTCAGTTGTGAGCTGCCATGTGGAATTGAACCTGGGTCCTGGAAGAGCAGCCAGAGTTCTTACCACTACCAGCCATTTCTCCAACTCCATCCTGGAACTTTTTGTAGGCTAACCTGGCCTCAAATTTGAGATCCTCATGCCTCTGCCTCTAGAGTAGAGTGCTAGGATTAAACATGGCCCCACTCAAGGCTTATTTATTTATTTTTGGTTTTGTTGTTTGGTTTCTCTGTATTGTTTTGGAGGCTGTCCTGGAACTCACTCTGTAGACCAGGATGTCCTCGAACTCACAGAGATCCGCCTGCCTCTGTCTCCCCAGTGCTGGGATTAAAGGCGTGCGCCACCAACGCCCGGCGGAATCTTTGTTTTTTTTTTGTTTTTTTTTTGTTTTTTTTTTTTTTGGTTTTTCGAGACAGGGTTTCTCTGTGGCTTTGGAGGCTGTCCTGGAACTCGCTCTGTAGACCAGGCTGGCCTCGAACTCGCAGAGATCCGCCTGCCTCTGCCTCCCGAGTGCTGGGATTAAAGGCGTGTGCCACCAACGCCCGGCGGAATCTTTGGTTTTTGAGGCATTGTTTCTCTGTATCTTTGGAGGCAGTCCTGGAACTAGCTTTGTAGACCAGGCTGGCCTGGAACTCAGATCTGCCTGCCTCTGCCTCCTTAACACTGGGCTTAAAGACCTGTGCCACCCACTTTCTGGGAGCGCTTTCCAGAGTTTCCATTTCAGGTGAATGGCTTCTCAGGGGAACTAGCCCGGGAACCAGCTGAGCCACAGACTCTGAACGTGGGCAGGGTGTTGTTGCTGCAGGTGAAGTTCATGAGCCTGAGGGCCTCCAGGTTTTCCTTATCTCCTGGCCCTGGGGGCTATGGGCTTGACTGGGTGAAGCCCTCTGTGGCACTTCTAGGTCTTTCTTCATCCGATCCGAGAAAAAAATGTTTGCCCTGGATCTGCCTTACCTGGCAGTTACCTGTGACCTCCTTATTTCTGTGTGATACCTTTATGTTTTGGGGCTTTAGTTTTAGTTTTGAGACTGTTGCCTCTACTGACCTAAAACTCACTGTGTTTAGGCCAGGTTAGACCCAAATTCTGTCAGTAATCCTTTCTGTATCCCAAACCTGGAAATAACAGAAGGGAGCCACCATGACATGACTCAACCTTGATGATACGTGTCGTTGAGTTTCCTCTAAGACAGGCCAATCTCCTGGGTGTGAATGGGAAGAGTAGGGTTGGTTTCCTAAAGTACCCTGTTTACACAGTCTAATAGGGAGCACCGGAACTCAATTAGATTTAGGTGGAAAGTTTTTGTTTTTGGTTTTGTTTTTGGTTTTTCGAGACAGGGTTTCTCTGTGGCTTTGGAGGCTGTCCTGGAACTCGCTTGGTAGTCCAGGCTGGTCTGGAACTCACAGAGATCCGCCTGCCTCTGCCTCCCGAGTGCTGGGATTAAAGGCGTACGCCACCAACGCCCGGCATTAGGTGGAAAGTTAATAGCCAGTTTTCTAAAGCGTTCCAGAGTCCCCAGCAGAGCAAGCCACATTCCCAGCACAATTGGCTTGTGGGCACAGAGTCTCACCAAGTGTGAGTTCCCACACATGAATAAAGGTCTCAACCTCTGGACCTAGAAAACAGGCAGTTAGGCCACAGGAACATTAGTGCATGGGATCACACACGGCAAAGAAGCCAGGGGCTCTATCTCTACACAAACGCTAGGATGCCTTTCTGAGGTACTGCTTTGGAGAATGGTGGGCCTCACTGATGGCTCTTCACCTGTGTTTCAGAAGTCTCACAGCCAGAAATATTAGCGGAGGACCTAAAAGAGCTAACACTCAGCCCCAGCGCCAAGAAGCCTTCCCATCGCCCAGTACGTCGTCGTCCTGGCCGCCGCCGCCGAGTCATCTCAACAAAGATAAAACCGGTTGAGAACAAAAGTGAAATAATCTTGAGAAAGGTCCAAAGTGCCTTTCCCAGGAGGCAAGTTCGCACACTGCTGTCTGTGCAGAAAGATCCTGTGGCAAGGATGAAAAGATTTATTCGGGTGAGTTGCATTTGTGGACAGGGCTATTTATTATATTAGATAGCAACCCCAGCCTCTGGGTAATGACTGAAATTACCATGTAAATCTAGACAAGATAGTGACTGCTTTCTTTCTTTCTTTTTTTTTTTTTTTTGTTTTGTTTTGTTTTTGGAGACCGGGTTTCTCTGTATTGTTTTGGAGGCTGTCCTGGAACTCACTTTGTAGACCAGGCTGGCCTCAAACTCAGATCCATCTGCCTCTGCCTCCTAAGCGCTGGGATTAAAGGCATGCGCCACCAACGCCAGGCAGTGACTGCTTCTAATTCCCAATCCTTCAACTTCCAGGACTATCCTCTGCTACATAGTCTGAGGGCAGCCTGAGCTGTAGGCAAATAAGCAGTGGTAAGCAGCAGTCAATCTGGTTATAACTGTTTAGCCCAGGCTGCCCTCCAATTCAATCTACAAACTTGCCCCTCATTCTTCCCAGTGCTGGGATTGATTACAGGTTCCTGAGCTACCATCCAGGGCTAACAGACTGCTCTGTTCTCTGTGGAGACCAGGCTGGCTTTAACCTGGGATGGTCCTCCTTACACGTGGTGCCAATAACAACTTCTCACAGAGTAGGTGTTTTAACTTTGTCTTGATAGTTTGAAATAATTTTTGTTTTTGTTTTTTTTTTCTCATGAAGATTGAGAAGAAACTAAAAAGTCGTAATGGAGATGTGGTAAATAACTTTTTATTGCTAATACATGTTGGTGGGTTGGGTGTCTGTTTCGTTGCTTAATTTGCGGATGTGGGGCCTGGGGTGCATGGTCTCAACCACTTGGAATTCTGGTTATTGAACCCAGTACTTAAACAGGTGAGGATTTATGTTTGTTTGGCTTTGCAATATCATGATTAACTCACCTATTATTTCTTTCAGTATGAAGAAGGCGAACCATTCAGATGCCTTTGCACTTTCTGCCTGTATCAAGGATGGGACCCTTCTGAAAATGCTAAAATAGGGAAAGATTAGGGCTACTTTTGTATACTGTCTTTACTGCTGATACTACTACACAGCAGTGAGTTCTGTAATAGCTTTATTCTTTTTCCTGGTGTTGGGCGATCTCTTTCCATACTTGTTACAAATTAAAAGATCGAGAATGTGTGAAGCATATGAGTGACCCAAAGAAGAAAGAATGGGCCTCAAGTTTTCTGTGGGCTTTAGAATTCTCAAGTCTTTAGGTAATAGCAATAGCATTTTGGGGTGGTTTGGTTTAGAAGGTATTATTGGAATAGTTCTTTGTATTCTCTAGTTTGTAGAAATTTGTAATAAAGGCAAAGACAATCTTGTTATCTTGATTTTTAGTAATACACAGAACGAAATAAAGTAGACCATTGTAGTTTGTAAGTCATTATTACATTAGATTATTGTGTGTGGGTGTGTACATCCCACAGTGCATGTGGAGGTCAGAATGAATTGTCAGTATTTTTCATCCTTAGTATTGATCTCAGGTTGTCTGGCCACTAGGCTTGGCAGCAAACACCTCTTTGCCCAGTGATCCATCTAGATGGCCCCTTGTTTTACATTTGTGTGTGTTTGTTCCATGGGGACACTTGTATGTGGGGGTGAGTTCTCACCTTGTGAAGTCTGGGGATCAAATGCAAATGTTCCAGGCATATTGACCACATGATAGGATTGAGACAGATGTTAATATGCAGCCCTGGCTAGCACTCTTAGTCTGTAGACAGGGAAGGGGACGTAAGGATCAAATTCAATAGAAATCTTCCAGGGTCTTGGGTTAAATGTGTGCTACCAACCCTGCTTATTGGTCTCCATGAGGACTAGCTGATCTTTAACTCCTGGGTCTTGTATCCACCCCATCACAGGCATGTGTCAGCGAGATGTGCAAAATGCCTGTCTTGTAAGGACAATTGATGAGGAAATAGATTCTAAACTGCAAGTAGGTGGCACTGTATTGTGGTTGTCTCACTAGAAGACAACCAGAGCCAGGTGGTGGTGGCGCACGCCTTTAATCCCAGCACTTGGAGGCAGAGGCAGTGGGATCTCTGAGTTAGAGGCCAGAGAGATGAGATGGTGCCCCCACCCAAGCAGCCAGCAAGAGCCAGGGGCACTGACACTGGGCCTCTTATTCTTGGTATGGTTCTGGGCCAGCGGCGGCCATGGAACTCCTCATGCATGTCACATGGCCAGATTGCCATAAGAAGCGTCAAGTTGACACTCAACTGCCACTGAAGCTTGTCATTTTAGGGATGCCCTGTAGACTGACTTTTCTATGTACAAGAGTTTTCTGTGGCATAGCTATCACCAGGTTCTCAGGGGTTTCTTTGTACTACAGTTTTCTTGGGCTAGGGTTTAACACAAGGTAGAGGCAAGAGAATCTGGAGTTCAGGGTCGTCCCTGGCTACAGAATATTTAAATAGCCACTTAAACTACTTCTGGCGTCAAACTCGGAGCTCGACCTGCCTCTGCCCCTTGAGTGCTGGGATTAAGGGCATGCGTCGCCACCACCCGGCCACAATCACATTAAATTTATAGATGGGATGTAATGGTAAGGCCGGGAAGTGGCGGCACTGGCCTTTAATCCCAGCACTGGGTGGGTGGGGATCCGCATTAGGGGGATCTCTGAGTTCTCTGGTCTACAGAGTGAGTTCCAGAATAGTCAGGGCTACCCAGAGAAACCTGAGTGTCTAAAAGGTAAAATCCACATTAGACAAATTGTAAATCCTGTAGCCACCAGGAAGCAAGGTGGAGAATGGAAGACAGAGCAAAAGCTGTGCTACCTGAGGCTGGGAGGCGCCCAGGTCAGCCTCCTGGTGGGCAGATGGCAAGAGCACTGACGACTCTTCCGGAGGACCTGAGTTCAATTCCCAGCAACCACTTGGTGACTCTCAACCATATAATGAGATCTGGTGTCCTCTTTTTTTTAATTTTTTGAGACAGGGTTTCTCTATTGTTTTGGAGGCTGTCCTGGCACTCGCTCTGTAGACCAGGCTGGCCTCGAACTCACAGAGATGTGCCTGCCTCTGCCTCTCGAGTGCTGGGATTAAAAGCGTGCGCCACCAACGCCCGGCCTCTGGCGTCCTCTTCTGGTCTGCAGGAATACATGTAAACAGAATACTGTATACATACAAAATAAATCTTAAAACGAGCTGGGGAGCCAGGCATTGGTGGTGCACGCCTTTAATCCAGGAGGCAGAGGCAGGGGGATATCTGTGAGTTCAAGGCCAACCTGGTCTACTGATTGAGTTCCAGGACAGGCTCCAAAGCAGTACAGAGAAACCAAAAAAAAAAAAAAAAAAAAGACGAGCTGGGGAGGGCTGGAGATGGCTCAGAGGTTAAGAGCACTGGCTGCTCTTCCAGAGGTCCTGAATTCAGTTCCCAGCAACCACATGGTGACTCACAACCATCTGCAATGAGATCTGGTGCCCTCTGCTGGCCTGCAGCATACATGCAGGCAGAATACTGTATACAGAATAAAAGCTGGGGAGCCTGAAGTGTGGAGTTGGAGTTAAAAGAATTCTTAGACTCTGCTCAGCATCTGAACAAAAAAGACCAAAGACATAATTGTGTCCTTCCTGAGTCAGACTTCAGAATGCCAAGGTGATCCAGCTGAACCTTGGGGTGACTGGGTAGGCAGGGTGTAAACAAATAAAAAACCTGGGGCTCCACCTTCAATCCCTCCCCCGCCATGTGCCAAGGTCCCCCTTGCGCCATATTCATAACACATTACTGTTCCAAAATGCAGGGAAAGGAACATAGTGAGGAAAGGCTGAACCAAAGCAAGCCCGAAAACCAGCTGTGCAAACTCCAAACTGCATCTCCATGTGTGACGGGCTGGTTCCACTCCATTAGCAGCTCTCCCTCGGCAGGTATCGCATGGCTCTGGCATCTCCAAGTTCTCCAAGGCAACCCAGGCTTCCCTCACAGCTTCACGAAATGCCCTCTCTAGGCCTCCATTCAGGGACACCCCTGACCCATGCCTGGCTGCAGTTGCTTTCTTTAGACATGGAGGCAAATTCCACAACCTGTTTCTTCTATCCTTAACACTGAAGTAGGGTTTCTCTGTAGTGTTGAAGCCTGTCCTGGAGGGGGACGAGTCAGCTCAGTGCAGCCCTCAGACATGAGCATTGCTTCAGGCTGCAGTACAGAAGACCACTGACATCTGCATGACCTTCGGCGGTAGCACAGCTGTAGACATCAACATAGACCCCTGCTGCAGTAGGACCGTGGTCCCCGTCCTGTGGCAGGACAGGCCTCTCACGTCAGGCTGTTCCTATTTCCACCTCTCTTCACAGAGCACAAACCACTTAGCTTCTCTTTCTCGTCCCTCTCTCCACCACATACTTGATAGATTCCAGCCACAGCCACTGACAAGGGCAGGGCACAGCCTGACATCTTGACCTGTATTTAATTTTGTTGTTTTATGTCTGGTTTTAGGATGTAGTCCTAGCTGACCTCAGACTTAACTTTTTGTTTTGTTTTTCAGACAAGGTTTCTCTGTGTAGCTTTGGAGCCTGTCCTGGAACTCTTTCTGTAGCCCTGACTGGCCTTGAACTCACAGAGAGCCACCTGCCTCTGCCTCAGAGTGCTGAGAAAGAAAAAAAAAGTAAAATAAATAAATTTATTTTTTAAAAATCTTAGTAGGACAACCCTGAAAGATACCCTGGAGGAATGACAGGACAATCAATTTCAGGTGTCAGCCAGTTGGCTTCAGTCCTTTCAAAGTCTGTGTTCCTAGAATCCCAAAGTAGTTATCCTTCCGTAGGCTAAGAGCCCACTGCCATGTCCGTAGTTTTGTAAAGGTAATGAAGGGGAGTTAGGGGGAATCCGTTTGCTCATTACAGTTGCTGCATCGGTTGCCTAAGATCTCAAAACATCATGGCATTCTGGGGAATATTCATGCATACGGATATTGCCTTAGGTGATTTGAATTGCCCCCTACAGTGATCCATTATCAACCCGTAGTTGACATCAAGCCTTTAAAAAAGAAAGGAAGGAAGGAAGGAAGGAAGGAACATGAAGAGGTTGAAAATGGGATAAAGGCGATAAATACAGCATCTGCTTTTAGGGCATCAACCCAGGAATCCTCTCAATTGTGAAATCTTGCAGGAGTTATTTTACTTCCTCAAAATTGGGATGGTGACAGTAGTCCTTAAAGTCCCTACTCCTGATCTAGCTTTGAAAAACAAACAACATCGGTGTTTATGAATCATAGGAAGCTCCACCTACTGGCAAATCTGTGTCCCAACACTTCCTGTGTGTTAGTCATCTCCAGGGAACAGTCAAATTAGCCGTGTCTTCATGCGAATCACTTTCCCAGGCTTCCCAGTGATTGACGTCATCCACATTGGGCTTTGTCTTTTTCTACAGGATGGGCCAGTCTCTCTTTTGTATACTGCTCATTCTCTTATGCTTGAAATCATCTGGATCAACACCAGGAAACTTAAATGCTTAAAATTTTCACTTCCTCCAAAACATTAAAGTTTTTAATATTTTATTTATTTGTATTTTTGTGCTTTGGTGTTTTCCTGAACATTTGTGTGTGTGTGAAAGTGTGTTGGATCCTCTGGAACTGGAGTTATAGTTATGAGCTGCAGTGTGGGTGCTGGGAATTGAACCTGGGTCTTCTGGAAGAGCAGCCAGTGCTCTTGACCACTGAGCCATTTCTCTGGCCCAAAAGTTATGTTGTTGCTGTTGTTGTTGTTGTTTTATTTAATGTCTGCATGTATTTCTGTGCACTGAGTGCATACCTAGTGTCCTCAAGGCTGAAGAAGGCATTGCATACCTTTGGATTGGAATTACAGAAGGGTGTGAGTCATATGAGTGCTAAGAATCTGACTCTGGTCCTGGAAGAGCAGCCAGTTTCTTTAACCACTGAAACATCTTCCTAACCATCATAAGTATGGTTTAGCTCCTGGCTGGGTGGTGGCATATACCTTTAATCCCAGATCTCTGAGTTTGAGGCCAGCCTGGTCTAAAAGTTCCAGGACAACCCTGTCTCAAACCAAAGCAGGGGTGTGGAGGGAAGAGGAACAGGGACACCACATCAAACCAAAAAACATTTACAAAAGCATCTTTACTGTCTCCAACACAAAATTTAATATATAAGTAGTCTTTGTTTGTTTTGGGCTTTCTGAGACAGGGTTTTTCTGTGTAGCCCTGGCTGTCCTGGAACTCATTCTGTAGACCAGGCTGGCCTTAAACTCAGAGCTTTGCCTGCCTCTGCCTCCTGAGTGGTGGCATTAAAAGTGTGTACCACCACTTCCCCCATCCCACAGCAGTTTTTACAGAAGCTGAGGTCACAGGTTTTACTTCCTTAGAGCAGTTTCATATTAGCAGACAAAATATCCTGTCTGAGCAGCTATCGGTGTTGGTCACTAACAGGAGAACAGATGTATAGTTTTTCTTTTCTTACCCCAGAAAGAGGAAGGAGCAAGCCAGCTTACCAACGCAGAGATCAGCAGTTCAGCAGTTTAATTGTAACTGTATTAAGAAATTAACCCCTTCCTCCCAGATAACTGAATCACTGCAGACTGCTAGATTTTAGGGATGGAGAAGAGATTTAGGGGTGTGAAACTTGATTGACCTTCTGAGGCAGGTGGTCTTTAGTAACCCCAGCCCAGAGGTGGGGCAGGGTGGGGCAGGCCTGGGTGGGGGTTTGAAAGCAGTTTCAAGACAACCAAAGGAAATCTCTTCTCTTCTTTAAACCTGGAAGCAAGACCTGAACCCGAGACCATGGAGGAAAGCTGCTTCCCACCTCACTCTCTGGACTAGCCCAGGCCACAGTGAGCCGAACCCTTCCATATCAATAACCAATCAAGAAAATGCCTTCCAGACATGCCCACAGACCTCCCAGACGGATGGAGGCACCTCCTCAACTGAGAGGTTCCCTCTCCTTAGGTGTTTCAAGCTGACAACCAAGGTTAGTCATCACATTGAGGAAGACACCAGAGCACTTGGGAGGGAGAGGCAGGCGAATCTCTGTGAGTTCCAGACCAGCTGGGTCTACAGAGTGAGTGCCAGGAGAGTCAGGGCTGTTACACAGAGAAACCTTGTCTCAAAAAAAAAAAAAAAAAAAAAACCAAGAAAACTCACAGATTCGCCTGCCTCTGCCTCCCAAATGTTGGGATTAAAGGCGTGACATAACACCTGGTGCTACTGATTTTTCGTTATTGCACCAAGGTCTGATGAAGGATTGTTTGGGCTCTTTTTTTTTTTTTTTTTTTGGTTTTTCGAGACAGGGTTTCTCTGTGGCTTTGGAGGCTGTCCTGGAACTCACTTGGTAGTCCAGGCTGGTCTCGAACTCACAGAGATCCGCCTGCCTCTGCCTCCCGAGTGCTGGGATTAAAGGCGTGCGCCACCAACGCCCGGCTGTTTGGGTTCTTTTATGTTTAGTAAGACTTGACTTGTTGACAATGTGTTCTATTTTAGAGAATATTCCATGGGCTTCTGGAAAGAAAGTATAGTCTGTATATCTTGGATGGAATGTTCTACAGCTAGTTCCTAGATCTGTTTGCTCTGTGCAGTTTAAGATTTCTTTGTTGATTTTTCCTTTGGATTGCCTATGCAAATATGAGAGAGGACCTTAAGTCACTCATTATTAAGGTGTCATGCCTTGTATGACCTGTTCTGTCCATAAGGGGTTTGTTTTACAATTGCTTGACCTTTGACCTTCATCCCTGATATGATTCTTGTCTAAGCCCATTTCTTCGTTTGAGTTATCAGAAGGGAGTAAAGCAGGTTGTAGACTCCACATTTACCCCAGAATAGAAGGTATTGACCATACGGTAATATTCTTTTATTTTAGTTTTAATTTTTACTATTACATGTTTTTCAATTGTGTTTTATGATAGCATGTGGGTTTTCTTTTCTTTCTTTTTTTAAAAAAAGATTTATTTATTATGCATACAGTGTTCTGCTGCATGTATGCCTGCAGACCAGAAGAGGGCACCAGATCCCATTACAGATGGTTGTGAGCCACCATGTGGTTGCTGGGAATTGAACTCAGGACCTCTGGAAGAGCAGCCAGTGCTCTTAACTGCTGAGCCATCTCTCCAGTCCCATGAGTTCTTCTTCTTCTTCTTCTTCTTCTTCTTCTTCTTCTTCTTCTTCTTCTTCTTCTTCTTCTTCTTCTTCTTCTCCTTCTCCTTCTCCTTCTCCTTCTCCTTCTCCTTCTCCTTCTCCTTCTCCTTCTTCTTCTTTCTTTCTTTCTTTCTTTCTTTCTTTCTTTCTTTCTTTCTTTCTTTCTTTCTTTCAGGCAGGGTTTCAGCCCTGGCTGGCCTATAACTTGATATGTAGACCAGACCTGCCTCTGCCCCCAAGTGCTGGCATTATACGTGTGCCCGGCTAGACTAGTGCTTTTTAAAGGAAGTAGAGTTGAGGCTGGCAAAAGAACAGAACTGGAAAGCTAGATGTAATGATGCACACCTGTGAGAAGCTAAGGCAGGAGAATTGCCATGAGTTCAAGGCCAAGCTGGGTTACATAAAGAGCTCCAGGTTAGAAGCCGGGCGTTGGTGGCGCACGCCTTTAATCCCAGCACTCGGGAGGCAGAGGCAGGCGGATCTCTGTGAGTTCCAGACCAGCCTGGACTACCAAGGGAGTTCCAGTCCAAAGCCACAGAGAAACCCTGTCTTGGAAAAAAAAAAAAAAAAAAGAGCTCCAGGTTAGCCTGAGCTACATACAATATGAGACCCTGTCTTAGAAGGAGAAGAAAACAGGAGAATTCGAACCTACCCATCTCAAGTACTTTTCAGAAAGAAGACAGGGAGGTTTGCCTTTAAGGGCTGATACCCTAGTACCCGTGGCAATTCTACGACAGTTGGAACCCACAGTTGGTTGGCACAGCTTGACTGGCACAGGTTGGAACTGAAACTATAACAGGAGTAAGTAGGCCAGAGAATTTGTGACAAGAGGAAACAGGATGCAGAGCTATGCAGAGGGTTTAAGAAATAACCTGGGGGGTGGGCTTGGGAAAGGACTCAGCAGAGTAGAGAAACTGATAGGAGCAAAGCGGAAGGGTTGACAAGTGAAAGAATGCTAATAATGACAAGAACCCTGTAACCTCCTCCGTAACACTAACTTCCTTAGTCTCCTCTTACTTAAGACAACTGAGCCCCAAGCCCGTCCTATGGTGGGGGCGGCAGACACAGTATGTAAAGTCAGTCATTTCCACCCTCCTGATGCTGTTCTTCTCTTCCCAGGCCCCAAGATGGTTGCCAGCATGAGAGCAAGAGGTGTAGTGCCTCTGATCCTGCAGATGGGCAGAAGCTCCACAAATTTCTACAAAGGGCAGACAATGTGGCTTGTGATCTCTTTCCTCTACCTTTCTGTCATGTACATATCAGAAGTGCCCTGGCTTAATAGAAAGACCGACTTTCAGTGCCATGGGAACATCTCTGATGCCTGTTTGGCTGAGTGCTACAACCAACATTTCTCCGTGTCTGTGATAGGAGTTTGGAACACTGTTGGCTTGGTTGTCTACTCTATCTTTTTTATGATGGAGTTTTCAGTCTTTCGGAATTTAAATATAAGGTCAAAATATTCACAGCAACCCTTAGGGGAAGACCTATCCAACTATATGTTCTTTTATGAAAGTGGCGCAAAAAGGGAGGAGATAATTTCCAACTTGTCCAGGGAGAAGCTCTTGTTGTCTGTGTTCCTTACCTACTATCTGCTTCAGATGGCCATACAAGGGGTCTTCCTGATCATCCTATGGTACTATCAACGATCCCTGGTTAAGGAAGATATTTGGTGCCAGACAATTAAGTGTCAAGGGCCATACCTGTGTGTGTTTATGGGGATACAGGAGAAGTTAATGTCCATCACGCTTATAACTATTCTTTCTGTGATAATCATAATCTTCTGCATTATATTCTTCCTGTATACCATTGGTCTATACGCTCTCACGAGTGTAATTCTGGTGAACACTAGAATGATTAAATTCTAGCAGCTGTCTTGATGAACACTGACCCAACCTAGAATGGAAATAAAACTGGACTAGTTTTGACTATTCCCTGTTGTCCTTGTCTGGGAAAAACTATAACTGCTATGTGACAAGCTTGGTTTCTTCTTATACAAGTAATTGTTTCTGTTTATTTATTTTGATGTGATGGAAGTTTTACCTGCATGTATATTTGTGCATCATGTGTATGCAGTGCCTGCAGAGGCCAGGAGAGGGTGCTAGGACTGGAGTCACAGACAGTTGCGAGCTGGGAATTGGGTGGGTGCTACAATTGAACCCAGACCCTCTAAAAGGGCAGCCAGTGCTGAGCCATCTCTTCCATTCCAAGTCTCTTCTTTCTTTCTTTCTTTCTTTCTTTCTTTCTTTCTTTCTTTCTTTCTTTCCTTCTTTCTTTCTTTCTTTTTCTTTCCTTCTTTCTTTCTTTCTTTCTTTCTTTCCTTCTTTCTTTCTTTCTTTCTTTCTTTCCTTCCTTCCTTCCTTCCTTCCTTCTTTCTTTCTTTCTTTCTTTCCTTCCTTCCTTCCTTCCTTCTTTCTTTCTTTCTTTCTTTCTTTCTTTTTTTGTTTTGCTTTGGTTTTTTAAGACAGGATTTCTCTGTGTATTAGCCCAGGCTGTCCTGGAACTTTCTCTGTAGACCAGGCTGGCCTCGAACTTACAGAGGTCCACTGCCTCTGCTTCCTGAGTGCTGGGATTAAAGGTGTGGGCCGCCACCACCTGGCCAAAGTAATTATTTCTTTTTTTCTTTTGGTTTTTACGAGACAGGGTTTCTCTGTATTGTTTTGGAGGCTGTCGGTCCAGCTTGGCCTCAAACTCACAAAGATCCGCCTGCCTCTGCCTCCCAAGTGCTGGGATTAAAGGCGTGCGCCACCACCGCCCGGCCAAAGTAATTATTTCTTAAAAGCAAAGATGGACTAGGATTCAGAGACTTTTTTAAGGTGAGTAATCTGAGGTATTTACGACTAGCAGTATTCATAACCCACAGCAGTTAAATTTTAGAAACTACTCCTTTCCGTTTCGTTTGTTTTGAGACAGGGTCTCTCTGTGTAACAGCTCTGGCTGTCTGGTTTGAACTCACAGAGATCTACCTGTCTCTGTCTCCCAAGTACTGGGATTAAAGGCGTGAGACATTACTGCCACCTGGCTCCTAATTGATTTATAATTTAAGAGGAGCTGCATGTGGTGTCACAAGCCTATAATACCGACACTTGGGAGGATTGGTAGCCTAATCCATTGTCTGTCTGTCTGTCTGCCTGTCTCTTTGAATGAAGAAAGACTAAGTGCAGTCTTTAAAAAAATTAGCATTGTCTGTCTTTAAAAAAAAGTATTCTTTTAAATTATGAATATTTATATGTGAGTGGGTGTGTATGTACTTTGGAATCCAGAAGCATTAGATTGCTTGAATGCTGGGAACTGAGCTCAGGTCCTCTGAAAGAATAACGAGTGCGCATAACCGCTGAGCCGTCTCTTTAGCCCAGCAAACGCTTTATAAAGAGTATCAGTAACATCTGGGTATGGTGGTACATGCCTGTAACCCTAACACTCAGGAGGTGGCTGAAGAAGGATCTGAAGTTCAAGGCCATCTCCTACTACATGGCAAGTTTGAAGCTAGCCTGAGTTACATGAGACTCTGTCCAAAAAAGTGGGGGGCACTGGAGAGAGGACTCAGCAGCGAAGTGCACTGGCAACTCTTGCACAAGAAGTGGGTGTGGTTCTCTCTACGTGGTGGCTCACAACCATCTGTAACTCCAGTTCCAAAGGATGCAACGCCCTCTTCTGACCTGCAGAGACTCTGACACTCTGACACACATGTAGTGTACACTCACGCAAGCAAACACACACACACAATATAAATATTGTTCAAGATGTCAGCTAATATATTGTGTATGTTGATTATGTGAATGGGTTAAGGAAAATGATATGTTCTCAGAGCTTTGAAGATAATGACTAAGTTTGCATGTATTTTAATTACCTGTATTGCATTTACTTGTCACTTATTTAGAGTGTGTGTGTACACGCTCATGTTACACCTGTGTGTGTGTATGTGTGGGCACACTTTTGTTACTCCTGTGTGGAAGGATGAGTGTGTATGTGTGTGTGTGGACACACTCGTGCTACTCCTGTGTGTGGAGGTGTGTGTGTGTTTGTGTGTATGTGTATGTGTGTGTATGGGTACACTCATGTTATTCCTGTGTGGAGGGGTGTGTGTGTGTGTACACATGTTATTCCTGTAGGTGGACAACCTGCAGAAGTCAGCTCTTTTCTTCCAACTGTGTAAGTCCTGGGGATTGATCTCAGGTCTTCAGAGTCAGCACATTTGACGACTGAGTCATCTCACTGGCCCTTTTCTTGTGTGTGTGTGTGTGTGTGTGTGTGTGTGTGTGTGTGTGTGTATAAACATTTTGAATTTAAGCTGGGCGTTGGTGGCACACGCCTTTAATCCCAGCACTCGGGAGGCAGAGGCAGGCGGATCTCTGTGAGTTCGAGGCTAGCCTGGTCTACAAAGTGAGTTTCAGGACAGCCTCCAAAGCCACAGAGAAACCCTGTCTCGAAAAACCAAAAAAATTTTTTTTTGAATTTATAATTATATTTCTCCCTTTTATCCTCTCACATACATGCTCTTTCAAATTTGTGGCCTCTCTTTTACTAATGTACTATTATATATATATTCCTAAGTATAGTCTGCTTGGTCTGTATATCAGTTATATGTTTTCAGGGATGATCATTTGGTATTGGATAACCAGTTGGTGTGCTCTTCCCTGGGGAAGATTGTTTTTCCTCATCTCAGAATTCCTCAGTTGCCTGGAGTTCCTTGTGTAGTGTTGAGGCCTGGTGAAGCGCGCGTGTGTGTGTGTGTGTGTGTGTGTGTGTGTGTGTGTGTGTGTGTGTGTGTGTGTGTGTGTGTGTTTAAACAGTTTCACACAGTCCAGGCTGGTCTTCAACTTTTAGGTAGCCAAGGATGACCTTGAACTTGTGACTCTTGAGCTGCCATCCCCTGAATGCCTCACTTGCAGGTCTGCACCACCTTTAACTAGTGCTGGGATCCAGCCTAGGGTTTTGCACACACTAGGCAAGTACTCTGTCACAGCTCCAGCATACATGTGTATCCAAAAAGGGAAAGAAGGAAACAGAAAGGGCAGCTATAAGCTGTTGCTTGGACTGACTGCTAGCCTAGTTTTAGCAAGTCGATTATAGAAACTATTAAAATTTAAGACGCACTGGGCAGTGGTGGCACACGGCTTTAATCCTAGCACTTGGGAGGAAGAGGCAGGTGGATCTCTGTGACAAGGCCAGCTTTGTCTACAGAGTGAGTTCCAGGACAGCCTGGGCTGTTACACAGAGAAAGCCTTTCTTTAAAAAAAAAAAAAAAAAAAAAAGAGAGAGACACAAATCTTCCATGGGACAGTTGAAGTTTCTAATTCAGTCAGAGACCTTATTGTTAATGAAGCCTCATTTTGGAACTGAGGCAGTATTCTTTTATCATCAGAAAAGAAGTGGCAATTTAGTATATGCACCTGGGTGATGGTGTGGATAGCTTTAAAAATATGTATTATTTTTATAGAATCAAAAATTGCATGTAGGCAGCATTCTTTAACTGAAATTTAATTTAAACTTTAAGATTTTTTTTTTTTGGTTTTTCGAGACAGGGTTTCTCTGTATTATTTTGGAGGCTGTCCTGGAACTCAGTCTGTAGACCAGGCTGGCCTCGAACTCATAGAGATCCGCCTGCCTCTGCCTCCCTCGTGCTGAGACTAAAGGGGTGTGCCACCAACGCCCGGCTAAACTTTAAGATTTAAAAAAAAATTATTTATTTTTATTTCATGCTCCACTCGTGTTTTGCTTGCTTGGATATCTGTGTGAAGATGTCAGATCACCTGAAACTAGAGTGACAGACAGTTGTAAGCTGCCATGAGGGTACTGAGAATTGAATTCAGGACCTCTGGAAGAGGAGCCAGTGCTCTTAACTACTGAGCCATCTCTCCAGTCCCTAAGAGTTTTTAAAATGTGAGGGCATTGGACACTGACAGGTGCCACTAGCATGGCGGCCCAAGAATCCTTTCCACATATCTGACTTCCAACTGTGTCCAGAGTCAGTAAGGAAAACTGGTGGGAGCCACCCCTGGGTAACTGGCATACTTAACCCCCATTGGCAAATGTACAGATCACATCTTCTCAGTAGAAATAAAACATCTATTCTACTGTGAACTTGCCATTTGTGGGTAAATTCGTCTCTGGTCTAACTCTTGTCATTTTCCATGGTAAAACCTATTTTAGCCGGGCGTTGGTGGCGCACGCCTTTAATCCCAGCACTCGGGAAGCAGAGGCAGGCGGATCTCTGTGAGCTCCAGGCTAGCCTGGTCTACAGAGTGAGTTCCAGGACAGCCTCCAAACAATACAGAGAAATCCTGTCTCGAAAAACAAACAAACAAACAAAAAACCAAACAAACTATTTTGGCACTTCTATACTTGGGCTCTGCACTGTTTTAACATAATTCACAACGCTCTATTTTGCAGTTCAGGACTTTTTTTTAGAAGTCTTGTCCCTTTGTTTTTCTTCTTTTTTCTTTTTTTTTGGGATAGGGTCTCGTGTAGCCCAGGGTAATCTTGGATTCACCATGATACTGAGGATGGCCTTGAACTTCCTGTTCTTCTGGCGCTACCTTCCACGTGCTGAGGTCTCCAGCAAGTGCCACCATGCCTAGCTCCTAATCTCCTTTTCGACCATGACTGTCCATCCTTTTGGCACTTCCTGATCCATCTGGACTCAGCCTGACACAGCAGTGCTCTCTTTCTCTCCCAAGCCACCATACACACTCTACACGCTGTTGTGATCACTTTCCAGGCAGCCTTACCACAGCTCGCTTCACCCGTAACTCCCACCCAATGCCTGGTTCACAGTGGAGACGCTGTTCCCTGCTGAACCGTCTCCCTTCCCTCCTCATCCATCAAGACGCTTCCCTCTGTGTTTTTACCTCGATGAAGAACCTATGGCATGGCCTGTTCATGGGCTTCACCACCCACAAGGAGAATGTCCCAAAACTGACTAGGGCCC